TGGATACGACGCCCCGTTATGGAGTTATGATTTTTTAAACAACATGATGTCAGAAAATCAGCCCAAAAGCTTATCTTATTTCTGTTGGTTACGCACCGCTGATTCGCAATGTTTGTCATCACTTCAAGGTGTCTATTAGATATGCCATTTGAGGTCAATGGATTAAACAATAATGAGCAATCCAACTTTGGTCTATTTTATTATATTTTGATTCCTTATTTTTATTGTGGTTGGATGCTTGTTTGTCTTATATATGAGCATGCAAGTTGTTTTGTATTAAATTTGGTTATATAAATTATAAATTGTTTTGATGCACTTTCACAATTAATATTAATAGCATTTGAATAAATTACAGTACCTACATACACGCATCATCACCATTCCCACCATCATATTATCATAGAATGGTTTATATACATAGCATTTGAATAAATTACAGTACTTACATACACGCATCATCACCATTCCCACCATCATATTATCATAGAATGGTTTATATACATACGGTGGCGTATCTAGTGGGATGCGCTGGGGAGCACACCCCAAAAAATACAGCATTCCAACTCCCCTCCGCGTCCATTACAAAACTCCCTAACGCCACTGTATACATACAAATATGAACCAGACTAATTATTATCATCGTGATTGACGAAACAGTATAAAGATATGTATCTTGGTCATAGTATACCAGGGAATTGTTTATAGGCCCTAGTGAGTGGTCATACATTGTCTACAGATGACACCCATCATTGGCCGTGCTCTCTGTTTGACAGTGATTGTCAACAGAGAGTCATGTCATGCATGAATTTTGATATTTAGAAACAATAATGTAATTTAGTTATATTAATATAGGCCTAAAATACTTAGCGACAGAGAGGAAAACTAAATAACTCATAGTAACATTCTTTAAGGCAAAATAACAGATTTTACTCGAACACTTACTAGGACCGATTCACATCCAACATCCTCATCTTCTTCCCGACGATATGTAATGAGTTAATGCTGTACTTGTTGACGTTTAGCTACGCTATACCATTCTAAAATGGGTAGGAAGGTTTAATGATAGACGATCCGATACGACATAATATCAAACAGAGTAAGTCAAATTCCAAGCATTAAATATGTAATGGTTGTTTTAAATAATAACATCGTTCTGAATGGTTTTAACACGGGAGTGCAATTCTAATTATACGAGGTCACAGTCACTTCGAAATGGAACGACCGGAATGTGACCTGTTACCTTGTCTTAAGTGTCCGCCGAGGGAGATTCAACTCGACGATGATTATAATAATTATGTTAATCACCTGTCGGGAGCATCGACTGCCTGTCATGCTGTTCGGTAGGTATGGTAATTGGCTTAGAATATTGCGAATGCAATTAATACCTTCCGACGATAGTCAATCGTGTCTTCACCTCTTTTCGATGTCATAACAATTCCGTATCTAACCATGATGATGATGGACCTAATCAAAATAAGATGATGATGGTACAGTATGACATTGACAATGGTATGATGATCAACAACTCTAATAATAATAATAATAATAATAATAATAATAATAATAATAATAATAATAATAATAATAATAAAATATACTGTATAATAATAATAATAATAATAATAATAATAATAATAATAATAATGAAATAAATAATAACAATAATAAAGATGATGATGATAATAATGATAATAATAATAATAATAATAATAATAATAATAATAATAATAATAATAATAATAATAATAATAATAATAATAATTATAACAATAATAGGGCTATACATACCATATAGGCTTACATGGCTACATGTAGGCCTATATACAGTAGGCCTACTGGTATAAAATACAGTATTTTAGATTTCTATTTATGATAGCTAGCTTAAAATTTATAAAATATTTAATATAGTTATATTGATACAATATTGATAATAAAATAATATTATTTAAAAATAATAGGGCCTACTCTAATTATAAATTTGTTGTTTATAAATTGATCCAGGATTGTTAATAACAAGCACACGTAACGTTGTGATTAGTATGTCAGAAAATAACGTTTGCTACACCAAATAATATCGTTCTTATAATGTAGAATTGTTAGTTAGGAATTGATATAATGCCCTACTGAGACACTGCAGTTGAGTCACTGATAATGGAATGTACCATAGCAAACTCATGAATGTGACACATTAATTTGAATCGGTATATGATGATGGCATGGCGGTATGCATGATTCAAAATAGCCCCCCTCCCACCCACAAATGTAAAATGCGTATTTCAAGCCCGTAGGCAGGATTTTTAAAGGGGTCTATCCACCTCAGTCCCACCATGGCTGGGGTCAATTTTAAAGAGGTAACACCTCAGATGTTCGGAAATGGCAATACAAATGCCAAATATTTGGACTTCATTTCAACAACTTCCATGCAAACGGTACTTATTAATAATAATAATTTAAAAAGGACATTTCTTAAAAAAAGGTGGGGTGGGGGCTCTCTTGAACCCCCATGGCTACGGGCTTGTATTTCAGTACAGGGGCGGTGGTAGGGCCAAAGCCCCTGGCGCCCGTTGAGCACTGGATTATAAAAAAGGGAAATTATTTTCCTTCAACAAAAATGAACGTAGGGCTGCATTTAAAGGGACAGTCGCAAAATATTTAAAAATTATTCTGTATAATTTATAAATAAATACACACGCTTTTGACATCTCTGTGACGTTAGATATCAGATCATTATGATGGCAAAAGTATTAACATCATACAAAGTGGAAGTTTATCCATAACCATATTCTAGAAATTACCTATTATACAAGAAAGGTCCGTCGTCGGAACCACACCGGCTATGGTCGAACCATTTTTATCATATTCTTATTAATTCATTTTTAATGCTTAAAAATATTAATAATGTTTGCACCACTCGTTCGAATTGAGGGTGAGCTGTATAAAGTAATACGATGAAGCAACTATGTGTATAAAATTTAATAAAACAATGCGTATATTAATTTTACCGGCTATAGTATAACCATGGAGATATTTTATACCGCCATGGTATAACTCACATCTTTAAATTCAGAGTTACCGTATATTGCGCCCCCATTATTCATCACAAAACGCTGGTTGAACATCATACATTTTAGCGGTGAAATAATAATACACTTACAAAAATATGCCACAATAACACAACGGAATATCTAAATGATAATTTTTTTCTTTCTCAAAATGTTCTATTTTCTTTTGCAACAACAATAATAAAAGAGAATGTAACACAAATATATCAAAATACTCAGTCAATGATGTTTTTAATCTTAGTAAAGGTTTGTTAGCATGAATAAATATTATACATCTTAGCAATATTCTTTTCATTTCATTTCATTATTTATTTTGGTCATTTACAACAACAACAACAAAAAAAGCTGAAATTTGGGGAGACCAGGGACAACCAGAGTGAACCAAATCACTGTAGCAAAGCCGGTTTACCCAACCCCAAATTCAGCAACACATTAAAACATCAAACATTACAGGGAATCAAAATACAAAGAAACCTTACAAAGAAAAGAGGATGGGCTTTCTAAAACTGCAGCATTTTAACAATGTAGGGAGCTGGTCCCAGACACGAGGCAACCTGATGGCTTTTCAATAGTTTCTGTAAAATATAGGCCTAGTCATATTTTAAAAACCGTATAACTACGATGAAGTTTCTTTAATTTTGCAAATATAAAAGTATAAGCCAGAATCAATCATACAAATAAAAACTGCGACCGTAAAAAGCTTGAACCATGTTAACACACCACTCCACGAAGCCTTATTACAAGGAGGTATTTATGCCTCCATGCTTATAACAAGCCCACATCAATCCATTGCTTCCTCTTTCTTTTTAAAAAGTAAGCATTTATTATTTTCAACCAGGCCAATTTTATGCAAAAGATCATTTGTGGAAATAATTGTATAAATATATGTAAATTGCAAATTATTGTTAGGCCATCAAGAGTAAAAGCGTGTGTGTTTTTTTCCATTTCTCTTGTGCCTTTGGAGTTGCAGTACTAATATTATTTAGCCAATTGTGCACAAATGAAGTAGCTTTCTGTCGGGGGTTTAATTTATAGTGATTGCGGCTCTCTGATAGGATTTTTATGTTTTGATTATACCACAAATCTTCGTGTGACGCATTATCACCATAACAATTTAAAAATTTAAACCAAGCCTTTATGACATTTTGCAAAAAAAAAAAAACAAAAAAAAAACCGCAATTATTTCTAAGCTTTTCATGAGCAAAATTCACGATCTAACTTTCGTTTACAATACCACATCCTTTCAGCTCCAATATTGCAATTTCCCTCAAAATAAAATTTCTCCTTTTCCATAATTAGGATCGTGTCATCTGTGGATTGATTGATTTTTATTTTGTCTGTTGTACACATAGCATAAAAATAACAACTTATCACATTACAGTACAGTACACAGTACAGAGACAACAGAAGAGAATTAATACAAAAACGCAAATAAAATCACTCAGTAAACTCTAAACTTAGTAATGTTAGCATTAATGTATTACTTGTTATTCTTAGAGATGTTTTCCTCAATTATTTCTCTAAAAAATGGTCATTTTTAGTAATGTATCTGTAAACATTCCCGACGGTGGGCGTTTTTTTTTACTCAACATATTATTTTCGGAAAATAAATTGTATGAAAATAACTAATGTTGTACTTCTATAAATTTGTGTGTTAAATGTTTTAATATAATATTTTCTGTTATGGTGAGTGTAGTACAATAACTGTCTCTTATACACATCTAGATGTGTATAAGAGACAGGTGTAAGTTAGAAACTAGCTTGTAGGCCACACCTCTTTACATATATATAATACCAGCAAAAATACCGTATAAAGACAAACATTATTTTACGCTTAACGGCTGCCATCGTATACCGAGTGAGTAACAGGACAGATCAAAAAGCGTGGTGGTTACATTTGTCAAGTAATACTCACAATTGTGAGTACAGTCTATCAGGTAGGATATTTGATTTTCAAAATGTATTAGGACTACTACTTAAACTGTATTGCATCATCGGAATATTTTAAATGCCTTTTAAATTATGACTGTTTTACTACTGACTTTATTTCACCTAAGATTTTTGTATTTATAAATATTTTTATTATTGTAAGGATTTTTTATTTTGTCAAAGGACCCCCACTTGACAGTGATTTAGTTCACTTTTGGGTGTTCCTGTCTCATGTTCTTTTGTACTTGTTCCTTGCTGTTTCTGTTCTTGTAAATTCTAATGTTTTGAGACAAATAAATAAAATGAAATTGTCATGAAAAAATATCTGTCGCCATGATTACGGATTGTTATAATTCTTATACTTACGCAGTGGCGTAGCTAGGGGGTCAAAGGGGCACGTGCCCCGGGCGCCACGTTTGAGGGGGGGGGGGCCTCAAAATGGGAGAATGAGAGTAAAAAAATAAGCACTTTTTCGAAAAACACGACGAAATTGATGTATTTCTTCAGGCATGAATATTTTAATAAGAATCCGAATGTAGTTGTTTTTATTGGCAAATTCATAGATTGTGATTTCTTTTCAGTCCATTTCGACCGTTTTCTCTTGTTTTTTATCCTATTCTGTAATGACTACATGACTAAAGCTCATCCTACCATATCTCAGAGCCACGATGGCTCGATAGCGAGACTATCTGCTTTGGCACTACTTAGTACCGTATTGAGCGTGATGAAGCAGACAATATTGCTAACTTTTATCATGTTATTAACTTATTTGTTGTTACAAAAGCACACAAAATTCAGTTGCAAGTTTAAACAATGTAAAAATTCAGCAACTTACAAGACTCTATTATAAGATAAATTTAGAGAATAAGAATACTGAGATGTATGCGATAAATACAAATTAGGATAATGGTAAAGTTGTATACAAAGTTCCCAACATTGAATGCAGTTTCAATAGTAAGAAACAGGGATGGCGCCAGGGCCCCCTTCGGGGATAGCTGCGTACCATCGCGTGTGTTTGCTTGTCATGTGAGGGGATTTCCACGTAGGAAAGTGATTAGGTTTGCTGTTTGACTAGTCCTTGGCCATTATGTCTAAAGTTTAAAAAGCAGCTCAGGATAGTTTCTTAAAAAGAGCTGAGTTCTCTCGTCATTTGCATTTATTTAATTAACGCGTTGTCAATATTATCTCACTGCATGGTTAACATGAACACATACATTATTTAACTTACTAAAAAAAATCAACTATTTAGTTTCGAGGAACAGCATTAGACATACATACTGATAGACAATAAACTACAGTATTATCATACCAGTACTATTATAATTCAACCAGCTTTACATGTATTAAATATGCAGGTTGATAATATTGGGTCTAAACAGTCTGTGCCATAACATAAAATAGCAGGATATAGTGGAATTTAGTACCGACATAATAAACTATACAGAATAATTGTCTGCAAAATCCAAAGATTTTTTTTTAAATAGTGGCATAGGCAACTTGAAATATGGTGATTTTTGTACAAATACAAAACAATTACAAGGAAAAAGTCCCAAAATTGTTCGCTGACGCAATGGCATCAAATTAACTAAAGACAGAGTGGTCACTTAAGTAGTTATAAAATAATATTCATAAAAATATAATCAATTGATTTAGTGTGAAAAAAAACCTCCCAGAAACAAACATATAATCACTATGACTTGCTGGGTTTCTCAGTCACCAAGTTGGGCATGGTATTATAAAAATCATTAGGCCTACAATATTTATTTTTTAAATTAATAGTCATTTAAAACAATTATTATTATTATTATTATTATTAGTATTATTATTAGTATTATTATTATCATTATTATAAATATTATTATAATTATTGTTGTTATTATTAATATTATTATTATTATCATTATTATTATTATTATTATTATTATTCGTTATTGTTTTTATTTCGGAAACATGTTCAAATCTATGAACAAGTAAACATAATGTATCAATAACAGATTTATATTTGTAGCAGTGACATCCGTTTATGTATAAACTACGATCCAAGAGAAAATATCACTTCACTGTCATGTCCTCATAAATTTCAATTCTCAGCATAAAACCATACTGCATCGGCTTCTGAGAAAATCTACCTTGTTATTAATTATTATTTTTTTACAGAAAGTTAAATGGTTTCCAATAATGAGAAAAAGGATGTATATGTTACAGAACCGGTTACAGAAACACAGGAAAATGTATTTCAGAGGCCCTGTGAACGAAGGCGTAATGATGAAGACATCGATATCCTGAACAAAATGATTACAAGCGTAAAACTGGAAGACTCAGACAACTATGATTTCAATAATAGTTTTGATGGAGGTAAAATCACTAAAAATGGAACATTTAGGCCTACGAAAAATAATATTCAAGATGACAGCGAATTAGCTCGTTTTCAAGCAAAGAAATGGAGCCGATATCGGCAGTCTCTTCAAGGTTTTAAACCGTACAGAAAACCGTCTGCGTAAGTTTCAAATTCACTGGTTAAAAAATATGTAATTGAGAAATTTAATAACAATAACGATGTTAAATATTTTACAGTTGATTTTTGTTGATTTATTTTATTTTATTTTTTGTTAATAACTGATATAGGCCTATTACCAGATTGTTATCAATGTCTGATCCAAATAAAGTTAAATGTACTTATTTTTTGTTGTTGATATATCAAAACCTATACTTTTAATACAGTGCCTATAAATGATTATAATTATGATTTTTATTTACTATTTTATTATTTTTTCCCATTTTATTTATTTGTTTCAAAAACATTAAAATTTACAATAATAGAAACAGCAGTAACAAGCGCACACAAATATGAGAAAGGACTCCCCAAAATTAAATTAAATCACTGTCGAATAGGTGAAATCACAGTCGACTGAATACTACTACTACTATACTTCATTGATATTAAACCTAGTAGGAACACAACTAACAACTTAACGTTATAATAACGTTGCATTTTTGTTCAAAGGGTTGTAGAAAAATAGGCACGTACGGCATTTAAAACGCAATTTCTAACTAAATAGCATTTTTAACGTTGCTGTAACTTTGTGAACGTCATTTTCTGACATAAGAACCACAGCGTTCCAGGGCTAGAAATTTACTTTTTCAGCCACTAGCAACCTATTGCTAAAATGTGCTAGTTGTTAAAAATGTAACTAGCAAAATGAGCTTCTCAACTAGTAAAATATATTGATACCAACTCAACATATTATTTTCGGAAAATAAATTGTATGAAAATAACTAATGATGTACTTCTATAAATTTGTGTGTTAAATGTTTTAATATAATATTTTCTGTTATGGTGAGTGTAGTACAATAAATATCACAAAGAAATAGCCAAGTGGGTATAAAAAATCGATTTCTATACCTTTTATATTTATTGTTTATTGTCACACCCTCAGAAATTTCAGGGGCGGGAAAGGGGATGGGAGGAAGTTTTTTTTTTTTTTTGCCAGACTAGCCTAGGCCTAGCTAGTCTAGGCAGGCTTAGATTCGTCTTAGCTAGGGGCTAGGCCTAGAAATTTCAAAAACTGCATTCGTAGCAAACCAAATCTTTGACAGAAAAAGGCCATAACAGAAACTCAATTTTACATAAAAGATTTGTTTGTACAATATTTATTTTGATAGGCCTTGGTCTTTTAAAGTTGGGGCTAGATGTTCCGTAGACGACCAATGGTGCAGTAGTTGGCCTAGCCTAGGTTAGGAGGTCTACTAGGCCTAGCCAGACTAGCTCACACAGAAAAAAATCAAAAAATGCCTTTGTCTTAACTCAAGAGATATCAGTGACAAACCCCAAAATGACCAATATTGCGCCTTTCTCGACTAGCTAGGGTCTAGTAGGCGCGGCTAGGCCTAAAACATCTGTCAATTGAAGCCTAGGTTGTAACCTATTATTTGTCTAAGCTTCATAGTAAATTATTATTATCTATTATCATATCTGAAACATTGTTTATTATCTAAAAAGAACCAAATTAAATATGTTCGCCTTAACTACCGATTGCATCGCCCGTGACTTCCGTCAACAAACACATGTGAGCGATTTTTTTTCTGCACACTGCTTACTTAGCTTGTTGCATGCATGCATGCAAGCAATGCAAGGTTTAAAAAAATTAATGTTGGTGGCGCACTTCACATCTTGTGCTCAAGATGAAAAAAAAAACGATCGTTTTTCGTCGATTATAGGCATTTTTAGTCGTTTGTCATAATTAAAAAATAAATAAATAAATTTAATAAAATTTGTATTAATTTTTGTAGATCAGTTTAGTCTAGTTTTAGTTAATACTAGGCTAATTACAAGATATTTGGTATAGATATTTCAACTAGCAATCATTTTTTTAAATTTGCTGGTTTGTGAATTTTTACCTAGCAATTATGACAAGCCTACTAGCAAATTGCTAGTTTGCTAGCGTGAATTTCGAGCCCTGCCGTTCGTAAACCTTATAAGGTTTTATACTTGCTCTGGGAAGGTCAGACTGGGGGACGTGTGTTAAGCGTGTTCTGGCATTGGAAGAGAATCTCAAAAGCATTTATTTTCTGTTCGATTGGGAACTTTCGCTGCACGACGACGATAAGACGTAAAACGTAATGACGCCACATAAAGTTATCTGCGCATGAGAGAACGTTGATTTCTCGTTATATTGCGCAATGTTCACCAAATCTACGTTAAACCTAGGTTAAACAAGGTTAAACCATGGAGGTATTATTATAGGTAGTTTTTGCCGCACGACGTTAACCTTAACTTTAATGTTAGTACCCAAGATACAGCAAGATAGCTCCGCTCCTTTTTTAAACAAATCGAGATACGCATGCGCAAGCCCGTAACTAACGTACGTCGAGCACGTAAAATCCTGAAACTAACGTACTCCGCAACGCAAGATAAATAACTTATGACGTCATCCGTTAACGTTACGGTTAACGTCGTGCGGCGAAAATTGCCTTGTTAAACAGAGGACGTAGGACGGTCACGCATGAGTGGATCCGTCATAGCGTCACGTAGTTTTTCAAGTCGAAAGCTCCCTATTCTTTCAATGTCTTCAATTTATTATTAAAATGTTCTCGTTTAGAACTCCGGCTAGAAATCCTATTGATGACGCTGGACTTCTGTCCATCATATACGTCACGTGGTTAACTAGTCTGTTCAAAAAGGCCATCCGTGTGCCTCTTCAGATTGCCGATTTATTTCCTTGTTCATCGTTTGACTCTGCGAAGGTGAATTCATCAAGGTACGTCAAAAGTAATAAAATGATAAAAGATATCTTATAATTATTAAAATGACCATAGAAATTAAAAAAAAAATTGTACCCTGATTTTTATGCTAGATAATAATATTGTTTCTATCATCTGTAAAATTATGGGTAACATTTCTTTTTAAATACATTGATCTTTATGTTCAAGTTGAAAATTTGTGTTATTTCAAAATGAGCAAGTTAATTTCAAAATGATTTTTTATTATTTCTCATGGTACAATGCATCGTTCATGCACCACAAAGTACCACCAAGGTAATGAAAAATGTTGTTTGGAAGCTACTTATATGTGGTTGCTATTAATTATACGTATGCATCAGCCGAATGTAGTACAATTGTTTATCAGTGTGGTTAATCTGCTCAATAAACAATTTTAATTACTTGTGCAAATATAAAGATGTGGGTAACCCACATCTGTATATACGACTTTTCATGGGTCTCGACTTGCTATGTAGGCCCTCTTTAGGCTAGACGCGCCTAGACGGTTGGAAGCGACGATCGAAGAAAAACGGTTAAGCAAGCCAAGGACTTCGCTAACTTCCATTCCTCAGTATTAAAATCCTTCCATTGATGGGCACTGTCTAAAACTTTCTTCCACCTTATCTCTGGAAAGATTGTAATCTTTTCGGCTGCAGTTGGCTCAACGTGAATTACACAGGAGCCAGTGAGCTTCCATGATGGCCTAGGCTCGGACACTGACACGTTGTTGTTTGTTGTTATCTCGCGACGTCATCAACGAGTACAATGCATTCATTATCCACCATCAACTAAACTGCCTTAAAGAAAAAAATATTGGTTCGTGTGGGAATCAACACACAACCTCCATGTTTGCTATTCATTATCCACCATCAACTAAACTGCCTTAAAAAAAAAAAAAAAAAACACTGGCTCGTGTGGGAATCGAACCCACGACCTTAAAAAAAAAAAAAATAATAATAAAAAATAAAAATAAAATTTAAAAAAAAACTTGCCCCGCGTGGGAATCGAACCCACGATCGCCGAGTTTACTACACTCTGATCCAGCATGACTAAACGGAGGGAGGTAAACCGCGGCCACTAAACCACAAATGCGATAAACCTAGTACCACACCAAGTACCAGTTAGTCAACTCTGATATTACTAGAAAAAATTCTTCGTATGTATACACTGCTGGTTAATATTACGCATAGTCATGGTGTCAAAAATGGGTCGTGGGCCAAGAGGGTTTATTTTTGTGTCTAAAAATGTAGAATTAAATTTATAATCGATTTTTGATTGTTACCATCTCCATAACTTACGCACTTTTTTTTAAATAGACAAAAATATTTGAAAAATTCATTATGCAAATTAGAAAAAAAATAGACCAATCACCTTACGGGAAACCTGGTGGTTGTGTGTTCAATTCCCACACGAAACAATGTTTTTTTTTTTTGTTTTTTTTTTTGTTTTTGTTTTTAAGGCAGTTTAGTTGATGGTGGATAATGAATAACAAACCTGGAGGTTGTGTGTTCGATTCTCACACAAACCATTTTTTTTTTTTTTTTTTTTTTAAGGCAGTTTAGTTGATGGATAATTAATCTCAAATTTGTAATAATTTTTTAATTAAAAAATATGGCTTCGTTCAGCCTTTTTGGCATGAAATATGCGTGGTATTTTATTATTTAAAAAACCATGGCTTTTGCATATCCTTCTTTTGTTTAAATTCTTAAATCTCGAGTGCGATTCTATGATATTCCTTTGCTAGAAAGGTGCTACAGCATATTTTTATTCTATGCTGGATAGACCTAAATTTAAAAATGAATACATTCACACTTCAAATCCATTTAAAAAATGTCTAAATGTGCTTTTCCCCCCGAGCGTTCGTAGGTATTTTAGACATTAGAATAGTATATGCAATATCATCTTTTAAATGTGTACTTTTTAGTGAATAAAGTGTTCTCACGAAGCCGGATTTGCTGGTGTTTCATGGTATAGCCCTGTGAACCTACATTATTTGCCAAAATAAAGGGCTCTTGATAGGTTATAAAGTGCAAAAAATAGTATCGTTAAATTTTAAAACATGCATGGTTTTAGTGGTGGGCGTTAGAGCAGAAAAAAAGATGTAGTATATATATATATTCCTGATAGTTTGTAATAAAGTAGAAAAACAACAGTATCGTTAAATTTTAAAACATGCATGGTTTTAGTGGTGGGCGTTAGAGCAGAAAGCAGATCCTGATAGTTTGTTATTAAACAACATTGCTTTGCTTATATTGTGCGTGGTATTTTTTTCATCTTAATAAGTTAACAAATGGCTTTTGCATACCTTTTTTAAAGTTTGAAATTTTGAGTGTGATGATATTCGTTTGCTATAGTAAAATTTTAAACCACATGTTAGATATATTCATCCTACATTTGTTTTCCATTTAACAGAACAACCACATTAATTATGCTCTCTTCGCGTAAGACATACAAAAATAGGCCTATAGGCCTACATATAAAAAAAATATGAAGCTTTGAATCCGCTCCTGGGACCCAACATGTGTGATGAACTGTCGAAGCGCCTGAACGTAACGTATTAGAATAATTATTGCACGGTAATGGTATGTTTCAATTGTGTTCCACAGACTTGAACGACTATGGGAAGAAGAACTTTACCTCAAAGGACCCAAAAACGCGTCATTTTTACGCACTGCGTTACGATTTTTGAGAACTCGTTTTATTCTAGGACTTACGTTAGTTGGTTTGTGTTTTTGTATGGGAATGATGAATGCAGTAAGTATCAATGAACGCTTTATTGGTATGTAAGAACACAGACAACGCAATTTGTTCTCTTCTCCCTGTCTATCCAGACAGGATATTAGGATGTTCTTGGCTAAATAGACCTTTGCGTAGTGTCAATCAAACTTAACAACTGACTAATCAAACAGCGCTAGGAATACGCGCGTGTCTCACAAACACACGTTGTATGGAGGGATGGGAAGACAGGGAAAAAATAACTGAACCATAGAAAGAGAGAGAGAGAGTGCTTTTGAGGTTAGATTTAAAGGATGAGATGCTTGTAGTATTTCATGATGCGATGCCATTATCAATGTAGTTAGGCATGTCATGTTTGTCAAATGTAGTTTGACAGTCTCTACAGGGCTTAAGTATTATGGAAGCCTAAAGGCCAACTCAGACAGCGTCGTACGACGCAGCCCGACGCAATTTGTTGTCGCGTCGGGTCTGTGTGAGTTAAACGCAGACGCGATGGTGTGCGTCGGGGCAGTCGTAGAATATTAAAGCCCCATTTCCGGCAAAATTTCACTAAAAACTGACTTTTTTTTAGAAAATATTCATTTGCATTACTCCAATTATTACAAATCATGGAAAAATATTGGCATGAATTTTAGTTGTCACAAAAGAATAAAAAAAATGAGAAATACAGACTATTTCTCATAAAATATTACCATTTTCTGGACGAATTCATCGTTACTAGGCAAATTCAGAGGTTGTAGATCGCATCCACTGGAATACTCTCGCTTTTATGTATACCTGTCTCTTATACACATCTAGATGTGTATAAGAGACAGACATTAGCCTATCCAACGCTGCTAGGTTAGGCCTAGCCTTACCTCGATTTAGGTTCTGTTAT